GCTGATGTTGGCATGGCTGGGCTGCTCCTGGGCTCCCCTGGCACATCTGGGTGCTGCTGAGCTGGGTACCAGGCAGAGTTCCCTTTCCTGTGAGATTTCTGTGTCCCCCCCCAGCCAGCATTCCGTGCAAATCTCCATGAAAAACTTTGGAAAACTCCTGCGGGAGGAGAGAAGCTGAAGCTGCAGCTCTAGGATTTTCTCACCTTCACTCTGCCTTTTTCCTGCTCACATTTAAGCAGTCCAGGCTGCTTCCCAGCTTGTCCTGGTGTGTTTATGCAAGGAGTCCAAAGTGATTCTTCTGCGAGGTCACACAGCCTCGTGTTTGAAAACGGGAAACTGGTTCTGTTATTTTGGTTTGGTTTGTTGTTTTTTTTTTTTTTTTTTCCAGTATCTGTTCTTAATTTCCTTGCCTCGAGTCAGCAGTTTGAATCAGCTCCTCTCTCTGCCCGTGCTGTTGTGTGGGACTTTTTTTCCTCTTTGGGAAGGGCAAAACTGAGGATTTGGGAATGGCTCTGGTGCTCTTTGAGCAGTGGGAGTCAGCAGGAGCCACTGCTGTGTGCAGCACCAGGCATTTCCAGCAGTCCCTGCAGAGACATTTCTGGTGCCTGACTGCTCCCAGGGCTTGCTGCTTCATTTCTTCAAGAGAAAAAAAAAAAAAAAAAAAATCTCTGGCTGCCCTTTTCAGATTCGTGCTGGCTTCTCCTCCCCTCTGTCCCCGTGACTCCCGTGGCTCTGGATGTGTCTGAGCTCCCAGAGCTCTCTCCCCGTGCCCAGGAGGGATGTCCTGGATGTGCCTGGGGCTCTCTCCTGTCACCAGTGTCCCCTGGGCTGTGGAGCCCTCTCAGCTGCCCCTGGCAGCTCTGCTTCACTTGGCCAGGTGCTGTTTGCATTTCTTGCAGCCAAGCTGTCGTTTTCCTGACAGTTCCCTCCCAAAGGTTTTCAGCCCCATTTTCCACTCTCAGAGAGGTGCTGGGGAGGGGACAGCAGTGACAGATGCTGGTGATGATGGAGGGGACCAAGCTCATGGTGCAACATCCCCTGGGCTTTTTTCCATATTTTATTTCCATTTAATGTGACCGAGGAGAACCTTGGGCACTGGTTGGTGGTCCTGATGTCACACTGCTCAACTGGCAACTTTTAATGGTTTGGGACCATTTCCTTGTGGTGTAGGGACCCCAAGGAGTTTGGGAGCCCAATTCCAGTGGAGTCTGTTGTACTCAGCCTTTTCCATCTGCAAGTTTCCATTTCCTGTGAAGGATCTGCTCCATTTCTGTCCTCTAAGGGATGGGAGCATGGAGAGGGTTTGGTGTTGGTGAGAAATGCCCCTCTGACCTGGCATTAAACAACATCCAAAATTATTCCTGTGGCTTCTGTACCTCCCGGGACTGGAGGCTCTCAGGGTGGGAGAAGGGCAGGGTGTCCTTTCCAGAGGGAATCACATTTCCTGATTTCACCAGCTCAGCTCCTTCCCTTCCCTGTACAGACCCCACAGCTGGCTGGGAAGAGCTGCAGATATTTGGATTTTTGGGATTTGGACAGCTCAGCTGTTGGTTTTGGCCAGGGGCTCAGCCCAAGCCACCCCTCCCTGGTGTCCCCTGAGCTCCCCCATCCCTCAGGAATCCCTGAAGCAGGATCCAAATGCCAGCCCCATCCCTGTGGGTGCAAAACCCTGAGCTGTGCCAGGGGCAGCCCTGGGGGATCTCCTTGGAAAAGCCCTGCAGGAGAAATCAGAGCTGGAGAAATCAGAGGTGGAGAAGACCCACGGAATTGCTGCTTCCACATATTCTCACCCACACATGGGCTGGGAAAAATCCTCTTCTTGGAGGCTGGGGTGGAGCAGCTGTTGGGGTGGCACCTATGGGACAAAATTTGGGTTATTTGGGTTATTTGTGTTGCTGCTTCATGGTGGCTGCTCCTGGCAGGACATGGTGCAGTGCCAGGCCAGGAGGGGAAACTTCAGACCAAGTGCAATGGGTTTAAAGCTCTCTGGATCATTGGAAGTGCCTTCCAAAAGCACCTGAGGAAGGGAATTTTGGGTCTGTGGGAGCTCAGTGCCTCATGTCCAGTCCTCTGGAAATGCTCTCTGGGTGGCTGAGTGCACTGTTCACACCTTTCCAAACCTGCACTTGTCGTCTGAGCACCAGAGTTGTGTTTTTATTTCTGGCACTGGATTAGGTATTGGGAGAGACCAAACTCTGACCCTTGTTGGGATGGGGCTGTTGGAATACCCACAAGGAGAGAGGAAATTGGTTTTTCCCAGGTTTTACAGATACCCAGGAGCTCCTGTTCCCGTGGGTTTCCCCATCTTCTCTGCTTTCCAGAAGTAGGTTGAGGAGATCCCCCTGGAGACCTTTGTGCTCTTGGAAAGGGATGTGCAAGAAACTCTTCTCCTGAGCCCTGGGAGATCTGCATTTCAGCAGAGCAGCACTGAGCTCATCACTCACTGCTTCCCTCAGCTGCAGAGGACACAGGGAAGCCTGGTGTGCCCTCAAACCTCGTGGCTTTATTACCCTGAAGAGCTCAGAATTATTTTGGCTGGAGTATATCCACATCCTGATTAAAATCCCAGTCTAATAAGCTGTTGACTCCAAATAAAGGCAGGATAGGAATAAACAATGAAGAAAAGTTGGCTCCTCCTGCTGCCCCAGTGGAAGGCCGTGTCCAGGCAGGCAGCCAGCAGTGATATAACCCCGAGGAGTGCTGGGGACTGCGGAGAAAACTGGGATATCAGCTGAGCTTCCAGCCCACATGAGCTCATGCTGGCCCAGCAGCAAGTCCTGGGGAGAGGGTGAAGGAGTTTGAACGTGTGCTACCATCAGGTTAACCCTTGGTTTGCTGGAGGAGCGTTCCCTCCCTTGGAGCACAGCTGGAGCAGATGTTGGCTTGGAGAATCCATCTGTCTTCCTTGTGTTCATACAGGGAAAGTGCAGGGCCTTTGTCTCAAAATAAGAGTTTGTGAATGCAAGCAGAGCAGAGAATGGCTCTTTTCTTTTTGGATGGGATTTTGGGAGGGGATTCTCCCCTGTGAGGGTGGGGTGGAAGCTGTGGCTGCCCCTGGGGGTGTCCAAGGCCAGATGTTTGATCACCCCGGGGCAGTGGAAGGTGTCCCTGCCCATGGGAGGGGGTGGCTCTGGATGTTTAAGGTCCCTTCCAACCCAAGTTCGACAAGAGTGGATCTTGAATTTCTGGTTTGAACGTAGGGAAGTTATTTTAGCAATAAGAACTTGATCCCTCTTGCTGCCTCGTTTTCTGTCTTGATTTGGAAGTGATTCCACTGGGAAGAGTTTGTCACCCTCAGGAGTGTCCTCACCTTGGTGGCTCAGCCCTCTGAGCAGCAGAGTGGGATTTGAGAACAGATTTTCAAAGCAGGATTTGAATAGTTTTGATAAACTCAAATACCTGAGTGTTGCTCTATCGTGGTATTTGAGTTTGGATAACGATTTAGGATGTTGGTCACATTCCAGAATCTGGGAAAATGGGCATCTCAGTGGGAAAAACCTTGTGAAACTCCTGAGGGATTCTGTTTTAAATACCAAAACATCAGCTTTCAAGATGCTTGATCCTTCATGCTTGATTTTGCTAGCAGAAGTTCTGGCAGGTCCCTTCCCCTGGGCTTCTGAACACCTTGGTCCTTCTTCAAGGAATTGATCCTTGAATTTCTGGTGGAAATAGGAGAAAATAAAAAAAAAAAAACCCTTTGGTTCTGCTCAGTCAATCTGTTGTCAATTTGAGATTTGTATCACTTGGGTGTTACACTGGCACCTCATCAAGGGTTATCTCTGCTTTCTGTGAAAAACAAGGGAGGACATTAAATCAGAAATTGCCTCATCCTGTGATTTGCTTGTCCTTCACAGAATTCATGATGAAATGGGCTGGGTTTGGTGTTTTGTTTTGCATTCATCACCAGTTAAATCCCGGTCAGGGGGGGTCTGTGAATAACCTGCAATGACTGGGGTTGATTTTGTGGCATTTTAAGGATCAGGACGCTGATTTCCACCCTAGTAAGTGCAAGAAAGCCAAACAGGTGGAGTTTCAGTTCCAGGCTGGTGCAGGTGCTGCCCTTGGATCTCAACATCCAATTTGGTGCTGCAGCTGTAAATGGGCTGGCCAAGGTTTGGTTATTAACTCCTGTGTCTGGAGGGATTTGTGCTGTGTTTTTACACAGAAGAATCACTTCCCATTCAATGTGTGCCCCTCTTCAGGGCCACAGAGCTCAGTTCTCCACTGGAAATAAACATTTGTTTAAGCTGCAGCAGTGGGGCTCAGTAACCCAGGCTCACCTAAGCTGTGGTGTTGAAGTGATCTGAAGTGTTCCCCTGCTTGTCACCCAGCTGTTAGAGCAGCACTGGCAGCTTTTTGGGTTGTGGTGAGGATTTTTTGGATTCCCCTGCTCTGATTTCTGCCTCTGTTCCCTCCAGGTTTACATCATCAAGGTCACCTGGTCCAATGGAGCCACCGAGGTCATTTACCGACGGTACAGCAAGTTCTTCGACCTGCAGGTGGGGACTCCTGCAGCTCTGCCTCTGCTGGGGAGGACGAAAGGCTGAGCTCACTTGAGCTCTTGGGTTCTGCTTTATCTCTGCAACTGCTGGGGCTTTTATTGAGGGGGGGTTTGTTTGCTCTGGGGGAGGATTTTGTTGGAGTTAGGTCCAAATTCCATTCCTGTGGCTTTCCCAGCTGCTGTCACAGCAAACCAGGGCTGCCACTGGAAAATGTTTGATTCCCTGGAGCAATTTCCCCACTTCCCTGGGGAAGTGCCCACTCCCCCTGCCAGCCCAGAGAACAGGAATGATGGAGAATGACTTTTTACAAAAGCATGAAGTGACAGTGATTCCTTGGGTTCTAGCTTTTCTACTTGGGGAATGGCTTCAAACTGAGAGAGTGGTTGAGATCAGATATCAGGAAAGAATTCCTGGCTGTGAGGGTGGGCAGGCCCTGGCACAGGGTGCCCAGAGAAGCTGTGGCTGCCCCTGGATCCCTGAAAGTGTCCAAGAAAAGGTTGGATGCAGCTCTGAGCAAGCTGGTGTGGTAAAAAATGTCCCTGTTCATGGCAGGGTGTTGGAACTAAATGATCTGTAAGGTCCTTTCCAACCCAAGCCATTCCATGATTCTGATTTAATTCCATCCTGGTGCAGGAGGGAGCCAGGAGGAAAATGGAAGTGGGAGGGGGGAGGCTGGAAAGGCAATTGGGACAGGCTGGGCTGCAGAAAACCCAAACCCTGCTCGGGGTGAGCAAAGGGTGTTCTCCACCTCCTCCTTGGTGGAGATGAGCCAAGGGGTCTGGCTGGGCTTTATGAGCCAAAACACAAACTGAGCTCTGGAACAGGCTCCGTGCAGAGGAGAAAAGAAAATGCACAAAGGGATGTCTGGGCTGGCAGCAGCTGCCAGAGGGGCCCCTGGAATGCCCTTCCTGGGCTCTTTGTGGCACCAGGGGAGGAGCTGGGCGCCCTCTGCCCCCCAAACCCTCTCCTGTGAGCTGAGCATCGCTGGGGGCTGAGTTCCAGAGGGGAAGGAGAGAGAGCCTTGTGTGCATCCAGACACAAACACACAGCTGGAATTCCAGCCTGGCCAGCAGAGCCAGCCCTTGGGAATGCAGATGGATTTCCCAGCTCCTGCACAGTGTGGCATGGGGGCAGATGCTGCTCCCAGCAGTGCTGTCCTGTCCCCTGCCCAGCAGCACAGCAGGCTGAGGTGACAGCTCTGGTGTCCCTGCTGTCACAGCCCCAGGGAGGGTGGCCCAGGCAGTGCAGGGGTTAAAGCTGGGAGCTTGTGTAACCAAGGAAATATGAAAGTAAATAAACAGGGAACAGCTGTTGGGCAGCAGCCAGGGCTGGAAGGAAATGGAACTCGTGCTTCCTTCTCTGCAGCATCTCCTCTCCATGCTGCTCCAAGGTGGTGGCCGAGCTCTTTCCACTCCCTGCTGCAAGGGGGGCTCAGTTTTGGGGGTGTTGGTGCCTCCAGCTGTTCCCCTGGGCTGGGGAGGGAGTGTGGGGAATTGTGGCTCCACTTCTCTCCATCCCTGTCTGGGTCCAGGATCCCCATCCCTGTCTGGGTCCAGGATCCCCATCCCTGTCTGGGTCCAGGATCCCCATCCCTGGCTGGGTCCAGG